ATCCATCCATCCATCCATCCATCCATCCATCCATCCATCCATCCATCTTTTACCAGTTTCTTCCTTTTCTGGTCTTGGGGGTCACTGGTGTCCATGTCCAGCAGTCACTCTGCAAGAGAGTCGGGGGACACCCTGGACAGGTTTCCAGTCCATCACAGGGACACATATAGAGACAAATGAGACAAACAACCATTCACTCTCTCACTCACACCTAGGGACAATTTTGAGTTACCAATCAGTCTAACATGCAGGTTTTTGGTCTGTGGGAGGAAACCAGAGTATCTGGAGAAAACCCACACATGCACGGAGAGATCATGCACACAGAAAGTCCACGGACCAGGATACGATCTAACCTTCTCGCTGAGAGGCAGCAGCTCTATCAACTGAGCCAACATGCCACCATGAGGCAACAAGGATTAATCCAGGATAATCAAACAAAACAGATTATACTTTTTTAACACATAACAATTTAGACAAAGTTTAACTATTTGATAAATAATTTGCTTTGGAGTTTGAATGAACTTGCAACCTGTTCTGTACCCCGCCTCTCACACAGTGACTGCTGGATATGAGCAACAATGACCCCCGCGACCCAAAAAGGAAGAAGTAGGTAAAGATAATGAATGGATGGATGGATGGAATTTTGATGAGAGATCTTATTAGATTTTATCTGATTAGATTATTTGCTAACCTTGCAAGCATGGGAATTATATTTTGTCAAGTTGCATCAGCTTACCTATTTTTGACCCTGTTCAGGATGGAGCGGGGAAGTACAGCAGATGGTTGTTTTGTCTTTTTATGACTTTGGAAGCTGATTGAGCCTCCAAAACTCCCAACAGGTTATGGCTCAGTGGGTCTTTGCATGATCGTGCCAGACGCTCATCCAAGTTGACCAAGGTGAGATGTTAACAGGGTCGGCAGGAAGACAATGATGAGAATAGTCAGCAGATGATAAGTCCAAAGGTTATCTTAAAGTCATGAAGCCTTGCAGTGGAAGATAAATATTTTATCTCTTTCGACTTGGTTTTAACAAAAATAGTTCCTGAGAAAAACTTTTTTTAATAATTTCTCAGGAATAATGAACATGAGGGACAACATGAAACACATCAGGATGCAAAAGGTGGAAGACAGAACTGAACATGTCACACAGACATGCAGCTTTTGAGGGACTTCAGTTCCAAGGACAGTGCTGGAATTTCCAGATTGTATCTCAGATGTTCAAGAATTCCTTTCAGTCCCCCAGAACTCTAGAGTTGTGGCATCTCTTAAGTTACTTCTGGAAACAAAGCAGAGGAAATATATTAAACATAAAATAGCATAATTTAATAATGAAAGTTGAAAGTAAAACAATCAACATCAATCATATTTTTAAAAATGTCAAAATCAAATTAAACAAACTTCAAATTTTTTTTTCTTTATCAAAATTAAAATCATTTATCAAACTGGAACTGAATAAGTGTCCAGGACAATGGAGTCCTGGTCACACTGGAGTGTGAAAACATCAGAGTATTCAAATGAACTTTAAAGGAAACCAGTTCAGGGTAGTTATGAAAGGTGACCTCAGGGTCAGAGGTCATGGTCAGAAGAGCGTATCTTCATGCTACACTTGCTTGATGAGAAACTTTCAAGGCAGTGTTGATTTTATTAGCAAGACAATATGACAAAAGTTAATTATTTACTCGTTGGTACGTATGAATATCTGGAAAAGTTTTGGATTGCATGTAGTGGTACCATAAGTTATCCAAAAGCACTTATTTATGAGGTAAGAAATGTACAAGTGCGAGTGGTTTGGCTTTGTGACTACTCAATGAATAACAAAAAACACGTTTAAGCACAAAAAAAAAAAGTTTCAATGAGTTGTGAAACTTTATCAAACTGTGGATAAACCAAATGTGACAAGACTTCTTCTCCCAGTAGGAGTCAAAGCTGGTAATAGAACTGCAGAGATGCTCATAAAGGCATGCTCCACCGATTATGAACTTGACACCTCAGCTGCATGTCGAAATGTCCTTTAGGTAAATCTACCTTTACTTTGTTTCACTCTTTCAGTTTGTTCCTCAGCCTCTGTCCAGAAGTTAAAGGGCCAGTGGAGCCTGATTAGAATGCAGAGGAGGAAGGCTCTGCTGCAAATTGAAAACATATTGATTCTCCTCACGCTTTGAGGAAGAGGGGGGAAAAAGACAGAAGAAGAAAAGGGGATAGACAGGAGCAAAAAAAAAAAAAAAAAAAAGAGAGCAAGAGAGTCTGATGAAGGAACAGAAAGGGTGAGATTGTTGCCTCCACATCGCTACTTGTGTCTGAACTCTATGGGCATTGTTTAAAATCCTTATATGCCACCTAATGGACTGACAACTTATATTGCCATGACAACAAGGTCTGGACAAGCATTTGAACATGCCTGCATGAGTTTCCTCCTTTTACAAGGGAGTGCACGCTGTCATGTCCATCCGAGGTGAGGAAAGGCTGCAAGATTCCAATAGGAGAGGACAGCGCATAATCCGTACAGATGTGCTGACTGCACGGTTTCCATGGGAACAACCCCCACACACCGCCACCAACAACAACATTGCTCCTCACTGCACTTGCTCAAGCTTGACGAGCTCCTCCAATGCTTTTCGTTTTGTCTTCATGTGTCCACAAGTTCTCGCTTGAGCTTTCAAATCAGCTGCAGCTCAGTTATTTTTTTCTAATTGTGCATGCCAGTGGCGGGTGTGTGTGTGTGAAGGGGGCACATGTGTGAGTGTGTATCAGTACATAGAACATGCTTGTCCCATTCTTTAATCAAGGATGGGGCAGAAGAGACCGAAGAGAAGTGGGGGAGTTTGTGATTATTAAGAAACAGAGTGAATATCTATTTTATGTGTGGACACACACACACACACGCAGGGTTTATAATAAAACAAGCAAAGACAGGGTATGTACATAGACTGCATTGCTGGTAAGCATGATTTATTATATGTGTATGTTTGTGTGTGATGTAACATTCAAAACCCATTTTAAAGAAAAAAAGTTTCGTTTGGTGAGTAAAGGCTGCCATCAAGTGGTTACTATCTGTCATGACATGTTCTCTCAGTGTTAGTCAGAGAGCACGCATAAAGAGAACACATACAATTTAATAATAACTGTTATTTCGTTTCATATTATCTTACCTCTCAAATGAAAGAAATAAGATGGTGGTAATGTCAGTATTCCCAAAATTTCGACAAATAAACCAAACCAAAACAAAAAACTTAAATTAAGTCCGCACAACTTTACATAAGAAGGATATGGCTCCCTTATTGCGATGAATGAAACAAAAATGTTTACTTAGGAAGAATTAAAATAATCGTGGTTTTCTTGAGCAGCCGCGGTTGATTTACGACAGTTTCACAAACATTAAGCCGTCACGATTTACGGCAGCTGCTGTAGACGAGAAGCGCAGTCGTGAAAAGGTAAAGTTAAATAAATCGTAACTTTTACATAACAAAAAAAACAAAATAAAAAAATTGTATAAATAAATAAACGATTTAAACCATTTTATGATATTCCATGTCTTTACGTTGAATAATTTTTGTGTAGCCGACCGTGTTTTTGTAAAATTGCCTGACGCTAATGCTAATAAAGCTCTCATCAAACTAGCTGCGAGTGTGGAGTTAGTACATTTTAAGGAAAAACAGGATAAAAAAAAAAAAATCTAAAATATTGATTTTCCAAAAAGCTCGGCAATCGACTCTTAAATGTTACACCCAGTAAAAAAAAAAAAAAAAAGTCAGTTTATCTCCAAACGGAAACAAATTTTATTTTAGTAACACACATCAAACCTTGATGATCCGAAAGTGACTTATTTGCTCGGTTAAATCTAATTTCCTTAAAAACTCAAGTTAACGTCAAGGTCATGTTTAAAATAAATTATTACTTCAAAAACAATCAGTCATATATATAATTGGCCTGTGTGGTAGGTGATCTATTTGTAGCACATTTATACTGCAAGCCTGTAAACATTTCCTTTTTCAAGCTCATGGATATTTTTTAAATACATATTTACGTCTTACCTATTATAGGAATAAAAATAATATCAAAAGATTCTTGGTTTGTTATTTTTCTGCCATTTCTTTGGACTTGATGTAAAGTTGTTGTTGTTGTTGTTGTTGTTGTTGTTGTTGTTGTTGTTGTTGTTGTTGTTGTTGTTGTTGTTGTTGTTGTTGTGCTGCTGTCTATCAAATTTGTAGAGTACACACATAATTTACTCCTGTTTTTTGTTATATTATGTCATGACATTTGCGTCACTAAAATTGATACACCGACTACAAAACAGGAAAAAAAAACATTATTTAAAAGTAAAAACAACTGGTTTTATACAGAGAACCTGTATTTTTTTTTTATGTAATTACCAACTGACCCTTGTTTGCCTCAACCATGCAGGCAATGCGTATTGGATTACCTGTTGCAGAGACACTGCAGCTTGGGTCTTTAAAAGCTTTGCTTTTGGTGAGTTTTAAAGTGTCAAGTGTAAAACTTCTTCATTAGCACTTAGTTTTCAAAAACACATTGCAGATGCAGTCTTTGGTTAATGTAATAAAGAGGACACGTGTAAAATACCAAGTGTCATAGCATCATACATCCTTCATCACATATAAACCACAAAGACTGTTTGTCCATTTTATTCTGGGATTTTTGTTTCACGTTTTTGACGTTAATATACATGTTTCTTATACAGTTTTTTATTTTTATTTTACGTTATATTTTTGTTATGTCCACTTCCTTTATTGCACTGAAAAGACTCTCTGGGGAATTAGAATTTTCCATTTCTGCTATGGAAAATGATGCAAACCATCAGTCATGATATAAAACTTTAGACAAAGTGCCAGTTGAGCACTATAACTCACTTTTTTCTCTGATGATAAATTATAAATTCCAGTGAACCAAAATGCAAGTGCAAAATTCCTACTTTTGTGCTCCAATAGCTGCAGCAGGATTTAATGCTAAGTTCGGTAGGGATGGAGAAATTGTACAAGTGGAATCAGAGCTGGATGTGTTTCTTGTTAAATGAATCTAATGCAGATTTTAACTATTATATTTTGTTTTGTTTTGGTTTTCCCCCCCCAGACGGTGCTTTTGAGTGTGTTTATGTTCCAGCTGCTGAGGACTGTAGGACTGCGGGCGTTCTCCATGGCTTCTGAGACGTACATATCGGGCACACACTCTGCAGCTTTTGTCACCTGTCCTAATGACACCGTTGCTAAAGACCTGGCTAGGTGATGCAATGAGTAACACCTTAATCATGCTTTGCAGCAGACTTGCTAATATGTTTTGGCTTATATTTTAGATTGTGTCAGCAAGCAAGACATGCCACACATTTGGCAGGATGTCTCTTTTTTTTTTTTTTTTTTCTTTCCAAGTGTTACTTTTTACATCTTATTGTTTTATTTTTTGTTTGTTTCAGGGGTATTGTGGAAAAGAAACTAGCTGCTTGTGTGAACATTGTCCCAGCAATTACATCAGTGTAAGTTTACCACCCCTGCTTGTTGTTTCTGTGTAAGGATGCTTGTTTGTTATGTTTATTAAAAGTCTTTCAGTCAGGCTGAAAAAAAAAAAAAAAAAAAAATCTTACATGTTCTTTTCTTAAGATATAGGTACTGTTTAACAAAAACACACTTTTTGCTCCTCTAGATATGAGTGGCAGGGAAAGATTGAGGAGGACAGCGAAGTGCTTCTGGTGAGTGCTGAATCAATTTTATTAAACATATAAATTGTTTTAAAATTGCGTTAAGTGAAGGAAAAAAATCAGTGTTTATTTTAAATAAACATAAAAAAACAACCAAAGCATATACATTTTGGACAACTTACAAAGCCATCTGCGTGAAAAGGAGTGGGTTTAAGTAAAATGTTTATATTCCTAACCCGGTCATACTTATTTATTGACCTTTGTAATATCACTATTGTGATCCTGTTTATATTTATTATTCTGCCTACTATCCCTAATTCGTACATTTTTCAGGATCTAACTCGTTCCACAGTTTTTGTTCTATTTCAACAATTCATAAAACGTTCATCTCTGTCAGGACAAACCTGCCATGACTTTTGGTATTGGTGCAACTTTAGCTTTTTGAGATATTTCACCTTTTCTGCCATTTTTATTCCTCATGGAATGTTAATTGAGCTCATTTTACATCCTTTGTAACTTTAGATCTGTTTACAACCTTTTACTGCTCCTTTCACATTTTGTTCTTATTAAGCTTCTTTCAGCTTCCTTGTGCAATTGTATTTTTAATCCAGCTACTTTCTGCTAGTTTCAGCATTTTTTCAGCTGTTTTGTGCTCCTTTCTGCTTTATTCAGCTAACTTAAACATTTTTGTGCTTATTCTACATTATTTCTGCAAATTTCATCTTGTTCTGCTTCTTTTAGCACATTTCTGCAAGTTTCAGCTACTTCTGCTATTTCAGCTACTATTTTGCAGTTTTTATGCTAATTTCAGCTTTTTCAACTAATTCCACATTTTTTGCAATCATTTAATTTTTTTCAGCCTAATTCAGCAAAAATGTGCTCTCTCCACGTCCTAACAATTTTAAGCTTCTTTCTGCTATTTTAGCTACTATTCAGCTGTGATTTTTTTGCTAATTTCAGCTTTTTTCAAATAATTTCTAATTTTTCGTGCTCATTTCTGCTTTTTTAACATAATTAGGCAAACTTGTGCTCTTTCTGCTTTCTTCTGCTAATTTATATAATTTCTGCTTGTTTAGCTACTATTCAGCTGTTTTTTGCTAATTTCAGGTTTTTCCGATAATTTCCACTTTTTTGTGCACATTCCTGCTTTGTTCAGCCTAGTTACGCAGAATCGTGCTCTTTCGGCTTCCTTCTGCTAATTTAAGCTTCTTTCTGCTTCTTTAGCTGCTATTCAGGTGCTTTTGGGAAACTCTTCGGCAATAAGCCCTCACACTTTTTCTAGTTCTAATTCTTATTATACATTGCTTTCTTATTTACTGCAGAATTTAACATTAGTATTATGTTTCACCAAATCTCTGAATACCATGAATACCACTGTTTAACAGCTCAGAATGTATTAGTTTAAGCAATAGCATCTTTCATATATTTGTATTTAGATACTTGCATTTTTAATATAAAAAAATCAACAACTATTGTAGAGAAGAATGCAACAAAATATTGCATATAAAATATTTTTTTTATCACCAAAGTCGAGGACAGGATTTTGAATGTTTTGCTCTATTACTACTAATATCCTTAAACTTAAAATAAAAGTAGTTACCGAACTTTCTGGTTTACTTCAGCAGTAAACAGATTATATTCACAATATTTTGTAAAACAAGATGATCTGTAAGTTAACATCTGCTTTGCAAGCTGTTTTATTGAACTTACCGTTTATACAGTAAAAGATCATTCAGTGAGCTTGTAGCAAAATAGGATTGGTCCCTTCAAGTGCTTGTTTCCAGGGTTTGATGGTTCACCGCCATGACTGGGGAATTTTATTCTTTTAAATTGCAGAGTGGGATGCGGTACGTGTTGGTCCAAAACCATCACAAGTGTAGCCTAATTGTTGAAACACTGAATGATAAATGCTTTTCTAACTGAGGTTCTACTGTAAGAAGTCTACAGATTCAACAGACAGTAGAGGGAGACATCATTTACACCCAAGAGTAGCTCTTATGAAAGTACCTGCTCTCAGAATTTGTTTGCATCGCTTAACATTTTTAATTATTATTATTTTTATTATGCTTTCTTGTCTCAGTCATTTAAGCAAAGGAGTAGCTGTTGTTGCAGACATGCATTGTGTATCATCCACACTCTGCTATTCATACTGTCACAGTCAAACGGATTAAGTCTATATTCACCAAAACTGCAGAGGATGAGGCTTAAGAATGACCACAAGCAATTGTGATGTAGCAATAAACATGAATTAAAGGATTAAAATGCTTTCTTGAATTGTATTGGATTGTTTTTCTTGTAGAACAGCAACAAAAATACTCCAGATGTGCCTCATATTTAAAACAATGACTAAAACAAAAACTGAACAAAAAACAATAAAAGTACAAACAATAAATCCTACATTTGAAATCTTAGTAAAGTACAACTCGTATGTTATTGCAGTAACTGCATTACTTTTTACATCTGTACAAGATGTAAATGAGTTAAAAAATATATCATAAACTTCTCCATAAAAGCATTTTTATAAGAAGGTCTTACTGGTCTTGCTAAAGTCCTATCATGTTGTCTTTTGAACTTGTTCGGCTTTCTCAATAACTTGCTCTTTACCGGCATGTGTTAGTTTGAAGGGGCAATGAGCACTTTTCAGTAGAAAGACCTCCGGATCACATATTTGTTAAAGCATCACCATGTGCACCACAGAACACTGTCCCAAGCTTGTGTTTCTCCCATTCAGATGATCAAAACAAGAAGTTCCAAGGTGCCTGCTCTTGCTGAATATGTTCGGTAAGTTCTGTACTTATTCTAACCATTAAAAAACTAAAAACAAAACACAGTAGCGCCAGGAGAACAAGATAATTATGTTGCTGATCGGCTCCATTAGCTGCCACCGTTCATACAAGTCAAAGAGTACAACTTTTAAGTACTGCTGTTTAAATGTTCTGTGTGTAGTCTGCTTTGACTCATGATGTTTTCCTCCCCAGCTCTAACCATCCCTATGAGGTTGCCGAGGTCATCAGCCTGCCTATAGACCAGGGCAACCCGCCTTACCTGAAGTGGATAGGAGATGTTGTGCCGGAGTAGAGGTGGACGTTTACACAAGAACTTAACGGAGGGATTTAAAGTTATTCTGAAATAATGTGAACACGTGTCCAATAAGATTCTCACAAGGCCACTATTAAATTTGTTTTACTGTCATCAACAGCTGACAAACATAAAATGACTCTCCTTGTATAAAACATAACAGTTGTTGCAGCCATCATACAAGTTATGGGTATTTTTTTTAACCTTCCAGTGTTTTGACCACTAGAGGGCAGCGTTGATTTTCTTCTAAAAAAGACAACTTATTGTTTCAGTGAGTGTTACATTGTAAAATAAAATGTTTTGATGTTTTTCTTGGCAACTACGTTTTGTGTGTTCGCATTTAAGCTACAGTACGTGAAGTGTTTAAATAGGAAATTTCACACACATCAGGTTGTACTCGACATTTATTAAGCCCACTGTCAACACACAACACTTGGCTTTCATCTTTTACTGAAGTTCACATGAAATATAAAATATCTGAATACTGAATTTATCTTTTTTTTATCTATGTTTGAAAGTCTTAAATAAACAATGCAACAAAGTCTTCACAACAAAATACAACAGTGCTCCTTCAGCCGTTACGACTGATTTAATCACATTTACTGTTATCGTGTACATGTGTCACACTTTGTACTCCTTTACATCACAACAAATTAGTGTTCCTTCAATAGAGACAGCAGACGTGTTATCGTAGTTTTTTATACATCAACGTTTTTAGATGAATTCATGAATAAAAATACGAAAACATGCTTTTATTAATTGATTTCAAACTTCAAAACCATAAAAAAAAGAACAAAAATGTAAAAAAAAAAAAAAAAAAAACTATTCAGAGGTATTTTATCATCACAAAGAATTATGTTTTACTCAGTAAAACCTTTTAATGTTTACTTTTTTAACTTAAATGAAGATTTGTTTATTTGTAAAAAATATGTGACCTACATATTGGTCAGTTCTGTGCAGATACACAAACGATCCAACAAAATTGAAACAACATGATTTTGTAAGATGCTTTCAGAAGTTGAAGCAACAACAGGATCTTTGCATTTTTATCGCAAAGGGAAACATTTGTTGTTGGATTCCAGTGGGGACACAGTTCATACAATGCATTCGCCATTTCAGTACAAGCTGTTCTTTTTTTAAATGTCTTTTTAAAAGTAAAGTACTGATGATATTTGAATTATATAAACAAAGCCCCTGCTGCCCAAATTTGGGTATAAATTCTAAACCTCTCAGTTTAATTGAACCACAGATTGCAAAAGAAAAGCATTCTCAAAACTGAAAATCTGTGTGCAACATAAATACTTTTAAGAATTTCCCAGCACATTTCCAAATATTAAACATACCAAAACCTATCCTGATGCATGCCCAATAGTCCAGGTAGAAAAATCCAAAAAAGTTCAATCTGGTCCTCTGGACATTCAAAAAAACAAAACAAAGCAAAAAAATGTAGAAATGTATTGTCTCTCATCCGAGAGACTTCCTCAGTCTGAGGTGCTGTATTCAGCTCAGTCTCTTAAATAGCACCTTCTCAGAGTGGATCAACCAGTTTGCTGCTGACAACCAAAACCAGCTGCTCACATGGTCAAGAAGGACCATCAGCCTAACAATGGATCATTAGCACACTGATGGCTGTTTACTATTCACAGAGGGCTGAGTGATACTAGCAATCACAGCATTGTAAGAGGGGGACAGTTGAACACGGAGGCCTCCACCCCTGTTTAATGATGGATGATTTATTTTCACAAAGATGGCCTCCTTTACTCTTCTCTCAAACCATCGTTCCTCTCTGTCCAGGATGTGAACATCTTCATCCCTGAAAGAGTGACCGCTGGCCTGGAGATGAGTGTAGACCGCAGAATCCTGGCCTGATGATGTTGATCTTCTGTGCTGGGCCATCCTTTTGGCCAGTGGCTGTTTAGTTTCCCCAATGTAAGACTGATCACTCTCCTGACACTGAACAGCATACACAATATTACTTTGTTTGTGCCGGGGGACTGGATCTTTGGGATGAACCAGTCTTTGCCGTAATGTATTTTGGGGTTTAAAAGCCACTGGGATGTTATGTTTAGAAAATAAACGTCTCAGTTTCTCTGATACTCCCTCAACATATGGAATGACCACTGGTCTGGGTCTGGGTTCCTCCTTTTCACCTGATGGCTGACTGGAGTCCTGTTTGGGTTTCTTCTCTGCTTTCAAGAAGGCCCAGTTAGGATATCCACATTGCTCTAGAGCCTGTTTTGTGTAGGATTTCTCCTTCTGCCTGGCTCCTGAGCTAGTGGGGACGCTGTCTGCTCTGTGATACAGAGTCCTGATGACTCCTAACTTGTGCTCCAAAGGGTGATGGGAGTCAAACTGCAAATACTGGTCTGTGTGGGTGGGTTTGCGGTACACCTCAGTTTGCAAATGTCCTCTATCAGAGACTGAGACCTCCCAGTCCAAGAAATCCAACCTGCCATTTTTTACATCTTCTCGTGTGAACTTGATGTATATATCCACAGAGTTGATGTGGTCAGTAAAATGTTGGACTTCCTGAGATTTAATTTTAACCCAGGTGTCGTCAACATACCTGAACCAATGACTTGGTGGTGTCCCTGAAAAGGACGTCCAGGCTCTCTTTTCTACCTCCTCCATGTACAGGTTGGCAACAATAGGAGAAACTGGAGACCCCATAGCACACCCATGTTTCTGCCTATAATATTGCTCCCCATATGTGAAGTAGGTTGACTGCAGGCACAGTTTCAAGAGTTGACACAGTTGTTCTGTGGAAAGTGTGGTCCTGGTGCTCAGAGTGGTGTCTGATTTTAACCTTAAACTGACCACCTCTACTGCATCATCAACAGGAATGCACGTAAAGAGTGATGTGACATCAAAAGAGACCATTGTTTCATCAGTCTCCATGATGACATCCCTCACCTTATCCACAAAGTCCATGGTGTTCTGTATGTGATGTTCTGAGCTGCTGTCTAAAGGGATGAGTACAGACGCCAGATATTTGGAAACATTGTAACGAAATGTTTCTATATTTTTTTGCTTTGTTTTGTTTTTTGTTTTTTGTTTTTTTGAATGTCCAGAGGACCAGATTGAACTTTTTTGGATACTAAAACCTACTTTTACTACAAGCTTTGTTAAACTACCATAATGGCCACAGGTGATAAAGATAACGGATGACCTGCATGTTGCTTGATTCAGAAATCACTCAAGTGACACAGAAAATACGTCAACATTACAGATAGCTGATTTTAAGCACAGCTGTTTTTTCTGGGAGCTTTTCAGTTTGTGAGTTACTATTTCTAATTTTATTGCCATTATAGGACACAGTCTGAAGAGGAGCAAAAGCTGAAGCCGCTTCAGGGTTTGTCCTCTGCACAACGCGTGCTTTGGTTTCCTCGCTCACCTCATAGTTGTTTCCTTTTTGTGACGTTCTGCCAATTTCTCTCATTTGTAAGCTCCCCTCTGCTCCAACGATTTCCTCTATTACATTATCTTCGCCGCAGCCTTCCCTGTGCATGGTGGCGATTCTGTTACATTTCTGCGATTGGAGCACAATGCCCCCCCACTCCTCTGTTGGCCGCTGTACCTCAGTCCCAGCCTTGTCATTGTTCTTAACCTTGCGCGATGTGCGACACAGGGCCTTCCTGAAGCCTCTCTTGAAGTTGTCGGACAAGAATCCGTACAGTATGGGGTTGGCGCAGCTGTTTGCATATGAAAGCACCACAACAAAATAGTAGAGCCCTCTGAAGTCTCCAGGCAGGACCACCATGAGGTTTAAGATGTTGAGAGTATAGAATGGTAGCCAGCAGAGGACAAAGACGGCTACAACCACCACCACCATCCGGGTGATTTTTCGCTCGGACTTCCTGCGCCTTGACGATGTGGCTTGTGTACGTTTTCCAACATTCCTCACCTTTAAAAGAGAAGAAAAAATTGAGAGCTTTCGCCAATTTCCTTCAAAAACATATTTTAAAGGAACAGCTCAGCTTGACAAGCTAATGTCTGAGCACAGGAAAGGCAACAGTGATTTGTTGCTGTCTTAACTCCAGTATAAACAACAACAACAATAAGAAAAATAAACAAAGGGTCATACAAACTATTTTATAACTTTCAGTTTTGTAATGTTTTGTGTTACACGGTCATCTACATACAGTTCTATCTTTTTGTTGTTGTTGCAACAACAAATAGCAACAGCATCAGCTAAGGTTAGCACTCCATGTTAGCCTAGGGCATTTCTGTCAGTACTTTCTTAATAAACTAACCATAAAAATCAAAACCTTTATAGATTGGTGTTGTTTTAAGACAAATCAATCCACATACATCAATTCATTTTACAAAATGACAAGCTTGTCAATTTGGTAAATACAGTAATCCCTCACTTATCGTGTGGGTTATGTTCCAGACACCACCGTGATAAGTGAAAATTCACGAGGTAGGGTCGTTATATTTATTTTAGTATTTACATATATTTTAAGGCTTTATAAACCCTTCCCACACTTTTGTAATGCTCTTAACAATGTTGTAAATGCTTTAAAAGAGAGCAGACAGACTTATGCTATGGTTACTGAGCCAATCCTGGGGGTGGACTGACCATCGGGCACGCCGGGACATTTCCTGATGGCCTGGCCTGCTCGGTGAACGCCGAGGGGCTGGATCAAAGGCTTGGTTCATGTCAAACTTGATTATTTTAAATTAACAATCCATGCCACTCACTCAGGTATCTGTCTCACTGAAGCTCCCTGAGCAGTAGCAATGGGCAAAGACGGACCCCACCCCCTACCTAGGGGACGGGGGCTGCACAATGCTCTGGTTAGTTGCTTTCCATCAGTCAACCAATCATGTGTCATGTACAATCTTAGTTGAAAACCGCAAAAGGGTGTGTCCGCAAAAGTCGAACCGAAAAGTATTGAGGGACTACATTAGACCCTCGTTTATCGTGGGGGATCCATACCTTGAAGACCCACGATAAGTCAAAAACCACAAAATAGGAATATTAATACAAGTAGTAAGTAGTGATTTATGTTTATTATATATATATATATATATATATATATATATATATATATATATATATA